CGCGCATTCCACACCTCACTGGGTTCCAGGAGCTTATATGTGCCTGTATCTACAGCAGAGCATTAATGACAGCTGAGCAAGTATCAATGTACGAGTACAACGCATCAGTTACTAGACTGTTTTTTATTCACGTCGCTAACTCATTTTATCGGTTGCCGTTATTGGACCACCCATAGCATTCCATTGATTAATTGAGCTAAATTACACGTTCCGGTTGGTCAAACGTGCGTAACTTGTCATTAAGCATTACAAATGCGTTATTTGAGCGCATCGGAACACTGTATGTCGATTATCTTTATTGAAAATATTCAGGTAAAAGAGATTAAAAGGATTCGTATTGACATCAAAAAGTTCCGTGGCCGCGTGTTGAAATTGCATGGAAATATTATTTCGTTATATTCGTTGATACTGTCTTACAAGCGGGAGTGAGCATTGAAAAAACTGAGTAGACTGACAAATTTTTGAGAAAAGATATTATTTGAGAAAGTATTTAAGCAACGATGATTTTAATCCACTTGTAATTGGATCCTATGACTTGTTAATTCAGTGTTCAGCAGTTCAAACTGATTCATTGTTCCTCTCTTAACTCAACAATGAATAAATTCAGCTCGAATTTGTTGAGCTTGCTATTGTTTATGTAAAAATAATTCGCATGTGCGCAGGAATAAATGAGGATTATATATAATATAAAATATACAAAGCTTTGATTCGTTTTTTAGCACAATTGAGGCTCATGATTCTAAGTTATTGAAAGTACGCTGTATTATAAACATTCAAAAGGTTTATCTAATCGTGTATCACTGAATTAAAAAATTCTGTTGCGCGAAATTGAAGAGATTTTGAATTCACAATAAATAGATGTCATCATGAAAACTTCCGTGCCTGCCAGCCAGATGTTTCATTTCACGGTTACAATCACGGCAAATTGTTAATTTCCTAGAAAGTCGTTGAAAAGTAATTGAGAGTTTAAATTAACTGGTGGTAACGTTGTTCATCATTAGAACGTGAAACCTGATATGTAAGGATATTTCTGGAAAATTATTCTTCCAGGAAAATTATTCTTATCCTTTGAATTTCAGATAAAAATTAAAATGATAATTTGCATTCCACTTTTTCAATTGGCAGTTTCATTCGGGTCTGAAATGTTCCTCTGGTTTATTTTTCGGAAAATAGAATCCAGTGGGTCATCGACTGAAATTCATAATCACAACTGATACTTGTACAGTATATTTAGAATATTCTCTGTACCTTCTTCAGGTAATATTTTCTTTTGGATCCGTGGGTTGAGATGGGACCCGTTGTTTCGTTGACGGCTCGACAGCATTCAATTGCACTAGCCTCTTCTGATTGATTCGTGCCTCTACCACGAAATTTTATAAATTTGTGTTTTTTTTTCTTTGTTATGGGATTCGTTCCTGAATCACAATGCGACACGTTGAAAATGTCAATTCGGAGATGGGGTTTCGATTATGCTCGAAATTTTCTTTCAACGTTGAGCGATTATAAAATCCCCTATGAAAAAAAATAAATTTACACGTACATAAAATGGCTAAGGCGAACCAGAGCAGTATTAGTTTTACGAATATTTATTTAATTAAATTCATGCCTATTTTGCACAATACACAAGTCCATTACCATTCTTGTTGATGTTCTCTCTAAAATACATTCTTTTATAATCTCTTTCTAGGTACGCACTGCGTCTTTTCCAGTAGTTGTACGCTTTCATCTTGAGCGGACAAGAAAAATAGGAATTCTAATACAATAAAGAGCAGCTTGCAAGTTAATTTAGTTTATCGCGCTACAAAGAACCGCACATTCTTTCAACTGTACACTAGGGAGCAATTTGTCGGACGGTTGTGTCACCAGACTGTAATAGAATGAAGGTTTAAAAAAACTTTGTTATTGTTGCTGCAATATATTATTATTATTCATTTTTATACGCGGAAAAGAAATATTGAGATCAAATTGTGTATCTTAATATGGCAGCCAGCTGGAGCAATCATAACATTTAATATGATTTATAAAATAGTTTCTTATGATTTTATTTATGTATACCATCTTATCATAGGCCTTTCCGTGACGAAATCGTAAGAAAAAATTTTAAATTATTAAGAATTTCTTCAATATAAGGTCATAGCAGGAATAGTAATAATAAATAAGGCCACAAAAATATTTCGAAAACAATCACGCTTTGAGCTTCGGTACATGATGAAAAAATACTCAAAGTTGGCTGCTTAATTTCTTAGCTATCTACTCCCACATTCTGTTTAAAGTTCCGTCGCCAATGAATCCATTGGAACATTTTACTTACTATACATCAATTATGTAGACCAAGTTTCTAAAGAGAATATTTCCGGGCGTCTCTTATGTAAGCGGTCGGCAGTACCTGGAAAAATATAACTCAGTACTCACTGCAGTGAGTGACAGAGAGCGCATTTTCTCGTTGACGAAAACTTGAGGTCACGGACAGACGGACGGACAGACGGACAGACAGACAGACGGACAGACAGACATGGCGAGCACAATAGTGCATTTTTTTCCATAAATGAGAAAATGCGCTAAAAAGGCCTTTGGCGCTGCAAGAAGGTGGATTAGGCGTCTACATGACTGCAAGCTAACAAAAACACGAGCAGCCAGGCCTTCTGACGTAACAAGTGTCCTCAAACAACACAAAGATAACATGGGAAAAGTCGTGAGCACGCGAGACATGAATGCTTACAAGCCTCAATGAGAATGTGGAAACTGCAGTCACTGTAGACTGAAGTTGATGTTCAGTTCATTGTTAGTCCAATTATACACGAATGCATAGGGTTAGAAACATCGAAAGTTTTGTCTTATTACTCAACTATTTGCGAGAATGCTTTATGTTATTGTTTTCATGAAAATTATGATTTATTTAGTATGGTTGATAGCAAACTTTTTCTTTTCTTTGCAAAGATAAATGATGTGCAAAAAGGAACCAAAATGTTCTATTTTTATGCTCCCAGCTCGGTTTCAGTCCTCGTTAAAGAAAAAATTATTATGACTTGAGATGATAGTGACAACGATTATACGAGTGTGTTATTAAAATTCATCTCATAATGAAGCAAATAAAATTGGGAAAAATAACACGTGATCAATATTGATGGACTCGTGCAACTGTCGACGACCTTTCAACAAATTATTATAAGTAAATAATTGATTGCATCGAGGGAATTTTTCGATGTTGAGATCTTATGCTGATTGGCACTATTTATTTATTTGTATATGCCAATATTTTCATTCATTGATGCCGTAAATGGTAAAATTTATTATATAGATTTTTACTATTATGTAATTTTAATATATTATAATTTATGATGCCATATAATTTAATGATTTTTCTCACGTAAGTCAAGTGGAAAGCATTGTGGGATCATATCCAGTGCATTATAAAATCACAATATCAATATGCAAATTGTTACAGAATCACTTTGGAAATTCATTGTTAAAAGAATTCCAGCTACCTCAACTTGTACGTCTTGTTTGATGAGTGTGAAAACCAATTAAAATTTTCACAGCAAACAGTTACTTGCAGTGACACGGTAAAGTGAGCATCTGTATAACAAATTTTCCTCAGCCACACGAGCTACAAGAAAATATTTCCAGTCCCGTCAATTTAGAGGCTCATGGATAACGACCTGAGACAGGCATGGACAAGACGTTGACGCAATATGCTAATCCACCTTAAATTCGCTTTAAGTTCTTTTGTTACGAAAAATAGAAAACATGTACGGTTATTAATCCTGTATTACTTAAAAACCTAATTTTATTCTGGTTTTGCCATTATTCAAGCAATGATAATGCAATTAAATATAGCTTTTAAAAGCTTCCGTGACGAATACTACAATTTCTTGGGGGCGAAGCGTTACAATTTTTTAGCCGCTCGTTGTCAGGTAAGTATCGGAAAACAGTAAAAACTAAGTTTTTACAGTTTTTTTATGTATTGTTGGGAACTACATGCGTGCCCAAGTAAATCACTCCTCGAAACAGCTTTATTTCAGAACAACCTTCACCTCGTGTCTCGTGCATTTTGTAACTTATTCTAGTAAGTATAATTAAATGTGTTTTAATGCGGCTTTGCATTATACATATCAACTGTGGAAGTAAAATCAATCAGATTTAATGAGCAACGTGGAAATGGGTAGCTCAGCCAGCACCAGTTGAGTAACGGAGTCCCTGGTTGACCAGTCGCTGATTTATTCTGCAGCAACACGCACGCTAGGAGACGCCTTCAGTTCACTCCTACAACGCTAACGAGCGTCAGTCACACCACGCGTGAGGGCGAGCAGTGACATGGGAGAGGCTTTGAGTTCAATGATCTTTTCCAATCGCAAGTTTGAAGCTCTTCTCGGTGTTGTTAAGCCTTTGATTGCGCTGAGTGGGAACTGGACGTATTTTTTCAGCTGTAAATTGTGTGAATATTTTCACAGAAATTCAGAAATTGATTTTATTTCTCGAAATAATCTTTCGAAATCATTGCACATTGCGGAGATTGTTTGAGCAATGTGTTTATGCCCCATGGCATAAAATGCTAAGAAAACTGAGCCTTACTAGAGAAAATCTTCGGGAAGTTAGTTATTTTCTAAACAATCATTCCTAAAACAGACTTTGAATGTTTTTCGTTTTGCTCATTCAAGAAACGGGAAAAATTGTTGTTTTAGACCTCATAGGACATTTAAATCTTACCTGAGTAAAATTGGCCTTCTTTTGGAAAATAAGCTCTTATTGAGAAGTTTTTTTTTGTGGGCTATTAGAGCTCTTCGGCTGTATATTCAAACGGAGTTAAATTCATGTTCAACTCCGTATTTATTTCCTTATTGTAGTATTTTTCTGAAATAATAATTACTCAAACGAGCACTAAATGGCACAAATCTAATGCCAACAAATTAATATCTAAATATAATAAAACTTTTAAGATCAAAATTAAAAATAATATCTAAACTTCCCGACGTAGAAGTAAAAATTTCTAACTCCTCCAGTTTGGTACTCCGAATTCGTGGTGGTCCGCGGCCAGGCTGAGCTGCCCTGCTTGGTGCCCGACCCTCCTTCTCAAACTGACCGGCCACTGCTGGTGCTCTGGTACAAGCAGGACCAATCACAAGTACCAATATACAGGTGAGGGTACAAGCAGGACCAATCACAAGTGCCAATCTACAGGTGAGGGTACAAGCAGGACCAATCACAAGTACCAATATACAGGTGAGGGTACAAGCAGGACCAATCACAAGTGCCAATCTACAGGTGAGACGAGTATTAATTACCACTCAACAAGATTCGGTAGAACATTCCGAATGAGTACAATAGTAGTATTAGAGTGCAGAACATGAGTAATATTGAATTTCTAAATGAATTTAATTTCTGGTTGAGAAGCGTCGTGAGGAAAAAAAATAAAGTGCAAATAATAAATTCTAGCCAATATTTTTTACGATAAATATTACAATAAACTTCAACCGGGCAAAACCAGCCACATTTATTGATTAAAGAATGAATTGCCTTCACGCATAGAATGCACCGGATTTCATTGCTTCCTATTGTCGGGCTGAGTCGGCGCTATTAGTGTCTAGCAATTGTTTCTTGCATTGGGTATAGGCTGGCATTAATAAATAGATGGTGATATCTGGAACAATTTATTGATGCAGTCGCCCGTATTGAGACACAAACACATCTGTTTCTCTTCTGCGCTGACTACAATATAGAGTGAAATACAGAATTTTACGATAAACAATCATATTAATTAAGAGATTCGTGATAAGTTCACATTTTGAATGAAAGACTGACGAGAGATTAAGACGACGCATTTTAAATTGAATTTAATTTAGATACTTCATAGATTAATTTGAATATATTTTTTTTAAATAAGATGACTTTGAGCAATTTGAAACGAACATGCATTTACTTACAGCTATCTTAAACTTAATTGGAATAAAATGCTCGGCCACGATCATTAATTTTATCATTTTATTAGAGAACCATTTGATTCTTGCTCTTAAGTAATTGTTAATAAAATCACATTCAAGATAAGTTAATCATTTATTAGTATGGGTCTTTTCACATATTAAATTTAGATATACTTATCTAAATTTATCTACTTACACAATTCCTGCATTTGCAGGAATTGCGAAATTATTCGGTTTTCAGATATATACTCAAATTTCAGGACTAGAACCCGTAGAATTTTACTGCTGAAGTTATAAGCTCTGAAGTTATAACTGCTTATTTCTTTTTGAGATATAATAATTTCGTCGAAAAAAGTATTGTTCAATCACTGTATTCTTATATGCAGCTACGACTCCCGCAACGGACCGTTTAAGGACGGCCACCGCTGGGCGGACGAGACGTACTTGGGCGAGCGAGCTTTTTTCCGCATCAACAGCGACCCTCCGACGCTCGTCATCAAGGAGGTTAAAGTTTCGGACCAGGACTTGTACACCTGCAGGGTCGAGTTCAAGTTCAGACCAAACGCTATTACTAAAGTAAACCTCACAGTCATTGGTGAGTAATTGAACAAATTGAGTTGATTCGTTGCTAATAGTCTAATTTGTTGGAATTTAAGTTTGGAAGCTATAGCGTGAATAGTATTATTAATGACGGTAAGGCAATGCTCAATCCAGTAATGCAGAAAGAGGCCTGGAATACGATGTCTGTTTTACTCCTGATTTCACCGGCCTACGTTCGGTTTCTGACAGTACATTTTTCTCGATTGAAACATTTTAATTTTTGTTAATGTTTCTTCTTGTGAAGTTCCGTTGATGCACTTTAACTCACTGGCTAGTCACTGACTCGAGCAAAAATTCCAATAAAAATTACATATAAAATAACCCGACTAAGTAAGCGAAGCCGAGAATAATTCTATTGTTGTCGAAATGGAGTTTCTATTGTTGTCACCTACAGTGCCAGCCGGTCCACCACTAATTCTGGACTCGGCGGGCCGCGAGGTTCGTGGGTCGGTGGGCCCATTAGAAGAGGGACAGCGAGCCCATTTGACGTGCCGTAGTGTGGGTGGGACGCCTGAACCCACCCTGTCCTGGTGGCGGGACGGACGGCGCCTCAAGCAGGTCAGGAACCGATGCGAAATTTGGTGGGTGAACGGAAGATTTTAATTTAATTTTGTTTGTGCAATTCATGATAATACATGAACATGTGAACTGTAGTCTTGCATTTAATTTTGTTTGTGCAATTCAGGAAAATACATGAACATGTGAACGGAAGTCTTACATTTAATTTAGTTTGTGCAATTCGTGAAAATACATGAACATGAACATTTCATGAAATATGAAATGTAGTTTGGAGAATATTAAGCAGAACTTAAATAAAATTGTTTGTAATATTTCTCATAATATGATAATGTGATTGAGACAACAGAAATAATACACAGATATACATAAATATTCATGAATATTAAGAATAATTATGAAGCGGCTTACATAGTCTTTGTGGTATGTTAAAATTTTCAACTCGATAAAAAGGTTTCAGAAGCATGTACACGAGAGCACAAGCGTTCTCGTAACATAAATACCGGTACTAAAGAGAAACGGAAATATCAATGTTCCGTATCAATTACAAAAATGCCTAGGCAAAAGTCAGATCATGTGAAATCAAGAATAAGAGATTTATCACGAGCTCCACTAACTCCCGGCTGCGTTCCAACCATTAAAGTTTGATTCAGTCTTAATATATAAAGTAAATGATGGAAAAACTATTGAGGTATATATTGTACTTGTATCTTCTTATTATTTATGGTTTAGGTATCACTCTATGTAACTGAATTAATAAATTATTTCAAATAAAAAGAAAGAAATGGGACGCAAATTGTTGACTGATGACAAATTATTATCATTAATCATTTGAAAAATTAGCAGCATAAGAAATCAAAGACTAGGAAATTTTAGAAATCATTCAAATGGGGACGAATTCTGAACGAAGAGGAAACTTTTGACAGATGGATGATATACTGCATGTGACAATTTCTTTGTTGAGTAACCCAATAATACAGTACAGTTACTCATTAATACAGTACAGTTAACCAATAATACAGTACAGTTACCCAACAATACAGCACAGTTAACCAAGTATTCAGTACAGTTACCAAATAATACAGTACAGTTACCAAATAATTACAGTAGAGTTGCCAATAACACACTACAGTTACCTAATAATACAGTAGAGTTACCCAATAACACAGTACAGTTACCCAATAATACAGTAGAGTTACCCAATAACACAGTACAGTTACCCAATAATACAGTAGAGTTACCAATAACACAGTACAGTTACCCAATAATACAGTAGAGTAAGCAAATAATACAGTACAGTTACCCAATAACTCATTACAGTTACCCAATAATACAGTAGAGCTACCCAATAACACACTACAGTTACCCAATATTACAGTAGAGTTACCCAATAACACAGTACAGTTACCCAATAATACAGTACAGTTACCCAATAACTCAGTACATTTACCCAATAACTCAGTACAGTTACCCAATAATACAGTACAGTTACCAAATAACACAATACAGTTACTCAATATTACATTAAAGTTTTCCAACTACAACTTGCCCTACTACATTCTTTCAAGCACAGAATCATGAAAAAATTTATGATTATCTTTCGTTGCCGGCCACATTTTTTTCACGCAAAATGAACGTGGAGTTAAAGACACGTATAAATTGGCGCGCTTGAGAACCCTTCCGTAAAATTTGCCCAATTTCCCCGTGGGGATCGAAGAGCGTAATGAACGGTTAGCGAGGTCTGTGTTGTGGCATTTTTAGCATTCAGGAGGCCCAGTGTGTCATTAACGTCGTGGAATGATCAACAAGCAGAGCATTAAACGCTCTTATCCATCACGCAGGATTGCAGTCATTACATTGAAGGGGACCTCTCTTGTTAATTCTGAATATCGCGCTCGTAGTTGGAGTAATGTTTTGTGTCGGAATATACTGCCTAGTAGTTTTCATAATATCTTATTCGTTTTCATTGATTTTATAGCCTGGATCGACATGTACAGGTACGATTAAATATCTAATTAAAGGTTTTTGTACATGAAGTTAAAGTAATTTGATTTCGAAAGTACTTCCACGATTTTCGGTGAGGTGAATTTCTAAATTTATATATATTTGCCACAAAAAATTTAGAATAATGGTAAAAAAATGACAATAATTATATAGGGATCACTATAGAAGGCAAAATAGACAAAATTATAAATAGTTCAGACTTTCATCCCCGCATTGAAGATTTATTTTTCATAGAATAATAATATTATTTTCTTCTGAGTAGTGTTGAAACTGAACTAGACGGAGCGAAATAAAGCTGACCTAAGACCTCCGTTGACACCCGGTACCTCGGGAGTGCATTTGGACTGTTCCTCTCGAGACAATATCCGCGGCAGATCCAGGTCACGATGACGCCATTGTTCATGTCGTGAATAAGAAGCTCTGTGCAGGGCAGAGACAATGCACACTCATGAGCAGGTGGTGGCTTCTCAATGTGGTCAACGGAGCGAACAGTTGGGGACTAGATTACTCACTGTCAAATCCAGGCGCCAGTTATTAAAAATTTCTTTTAACGATCCTTCGCTTTCGAATTTTATTATTAGATATAGTTAACGTTTTCTTAAGAAAATACTGCTGGACTGACAATATTTCTTTGATCAATAATTTTTCAATAATAAGGGATCGTGTATATCGGCAATTCAGCTGTTTTAATCTGATAAAATACTTGTGGCTCTTCAGGCACGAAACTCGTGTGTATTATCTCACTCAAAACCGCTCAAATTCTCACCGAAAATAATAAAGAAATATTTATTAGTTTCAATACGCACAGGTGCGCAAAAACATAAGTGAAACCACCAAAAGCAAATTTTAATCACATCGATGTTAAAAAGTGGGAACATAATTTTGTTTTGAAAGGTCAAAATTTCAGAGTTCTTCCCAACGTTAAAACCGACACAATCGGTGCCCTACATTCACAAAGAAAGTTCAGCGAATCAAATAGCTGTGTAATGAAGAACGAGAAGAATTTGTCGGCTGATAGGCTAAGTATGTATGTTTTTATTTTTATTTGGGTAGGCTGCTAAGCGACAAAACATGTGTTCCAGAAAAAAAATTCTAGCCCAGCGTCATAAATTAATGTTGCCTTTACAGGAGATATTTCCGGCAAAAATACAGCGAATCTGCGTCGACCATCTAATTTATTCTGGACGTTCATTTAATGAATGACGAACGCTGCAGGCCTCTCCAGCTGCACTGCTTCTGTAGTCATGGATTTCCTTGAGACACTGATCCATCAAATGCGAGTGGCATCAGTTGCTGTTTGCGATAAAGGCTTCCAGATCTCATTGCTGTCTCACAAATCAGTCACACAATCACATATTAAATATATTGCTTCTATCGTGTATGTGATGATTCACGAGTACAGCCTTATGATGTGCTTCTATTCCAACCATTCAAACGTTGAATGTGTTGTTTCTGTTTAGTCTGTGACGACTAAGCGATTAGATGAATTGCAATCTTGATAAAAGAATTCCTGGCAAATTACGTGTTTGATTGTTCAATTAAAATTTTAATGAAATCAATTAAATTGAAGTGCGAATGATGTACGAATAATGCAACATTTAAAATGGAGTCTGGTAGCTAAGGAGAAAAGCAGCTATATTGGCAATGAGTTTTACTGGGCACTGAATAATTTAATGCAGTAGATTGTTTTTGCCCACACAAGCAACTAAGAACTGTATGTTCCTCAGCAAACTGACAAGCGAGCTGTTGAAAAGTAAACCTATCACTCTGGAGAACTAACGAAAACTATTCGATAAAACAAATGAACGAAACTGTTGTTAGCATTACAGCACCTTTACGAAAACATTGAGCTTCTGGGCTGTTTAAATATATTTCATTTCTTATGGAATTGAAACTTGTACGTGTTTGAGAAGAATGTTAATCATTATTTCTTATAGTGAATTACAGCACATTAATGTGCAATAAAAACTTAATGACTTGAGCTTACTGAATCAGAAATTATTGCATGAACTTTAGATGTCATCAGAGCCACTGCTGAGCTCATTGATTTAATGATTTATTGCCCCTGCAATTGCAGTCGTTGTAAAACGAAAGCAATATTAAGTTCTTAGCAATGTACAAGAATTCAGTTCCGGGTTGTGATATTTTAGCCGAAATATTTAGTTTCATGACCGTGAAATAAATAATTTTATGGATTCATTTACATTCATAGCATATGTAATACCACTTACGGTCAGGTATCAATTTTAACGAAATTTATTAAGTAGGAGTTCATGTATTGCTGCTAAAACAAATTGAACGAATTAATGTGTCCGTATGACAGTGGCTGAAACTTTGAACGTTAAGACGCAATGCAAGTTAAAGTTAATATTGTGATGGAATTCGGAAATATGATTAGTATGGAGAAAGATAATATTGCTCGTAAGATTAAATTTCACGTGGTAGAAGGTTGTTGAAGTTATTAAGTTAAAAACTGATACTCAATTCATTAATGCGGATAACATGATTAAAGTTAAGCACTCATAAGCTAAAATTACAGAATTCGATGAATCTGGAATTTTCGATGATTCCAGATTTCGATTCGAAGAATCTGGAATTTTCCAGATTCGATAAATCTGGATTCATCGAATATTAAAATATGAAGAAAGCGTTTTTTGAAGCATGTTTTAGCAAATAGAACAATAATAATTTAGAACAATCATGCTTTAAATAATTATTATTATTAGCGCAACGTCACTTATATTTTAGTGCAGCACACAATTTGAAATGGACTTTCCACTCGACATTGACAATAGGAAATCCCTTACGGCGTGTAAAAGTCAAAGGGCAAAATGATTTTTCGAAAATCTTTCAATAACGTCGAACAATTTCTTTAATTCAATTTCCTTTGGTGTTCGCGAATACTCACAGAATTCAGTCAGCAAGAATTTATACATGTTTCACGGTTACTTATGGAATGCCGCATTTTTTTTATCAATCTGAAAATATTTCAGAAATCTTTAATATTCGGCGTAAGTGAATAAAAAAATCTGCAACAACACACTTTAGCAAGACTGTCCAGGAATGCTTGATTTACAGTACAGGTCAATTGGCAGAGATTACAAACTATCTGTTCTTAATTTGTTCACACTTCAAATTATGGACTTACTTTTTATATTCCTTATTATGAGTTTAATTTTAAAACTGCATTGGAAGAAATATTTGCCTTTCTTATGGCTACTTGTTCTTCACAGATAAAATTATCTTTAATAAATGTCGGCGGCACTTTCCAACTCGGTTGAAGTTACTGAATTCATTCCCACTCAAAATGTTCTGATTTCTGCTAGATAAATTTACCTGAATACATTCATGAGTAAATGGAATAATCTCTGTGCGGCACAGAGCTCAGGACTGGGCAGTGGTGAGGTGATAGAGAGCAGGATCAGTTTGCTGGTCACAAGACAGCTGCACGACGCCACCCTCTCATGCCAAGCTCTCAACAACAACATCACGGAACCCTCGACCACGTCTCTCTCCGTCAACGTACTGCGTGAGTCACTTTATATACCCTACATTTGGCGAGGCTTCTAGTAGAAACATCGTATCTACTTGACCCTTTTTAGCGCATTTCCTCATTCATTTAAAAAATGCACTAATGTGCTCTCCATGTCCGTCCGTCCGTCATTTGTCCGTCCGTCCATCTGTGCGTCCGTAACTTCACGTTTTCGACGTCGAGAAAATGCGCTCTCTCACTAACTGCAGTGAGTACTGAGTTATATTTTTTGCAGCTAGCTTTTTCCGTAGAATTAATCAAACAAAATCAAACGAGATATTAATACTTATTTGGTTTACCAACTTTTTTTCTGCGGTCAACACAGAAAAAGTTATTTTTCTTCACAGTTTTTTTCTTCACGGAACTTCGTTTCTTTTCTCGGAAACCTCGTTTTACTGTCTAAACAAAATATACAAGCTACGGGAGGCCCGGTAACGTCTAACCTTTCAATTTCTTTAACAAAAGCTACTTGGCTGGCGGCAGTTAGGAGGTGACTCTAATTATCATTAACTTATTAGTAACGACCGTCTTGACCTAATAGCCGATAAGGACAACAATAGGAAGTGTCTTGCTCTTGCAGTGTAAACCATTTTAAGGACAGTGTTGTAGCTCGGGCCAGGTTATCCAGTGCAGAGTCATGTGAAAGGATTTTTTCGGCCATGTAACCATATGTGTAAAAGTTAAAGTAATGAACAAAGCCCAGCAATAGTACATGTGATGTATATATATTTTCTTAACTAAAGCTAAAGAACTAAGTCCCGCATCAAGCATTGGGCTTAATTGAATGGCCTTCTTTTTATATGTTGGAAACAGCATACACGCAAGTCTACGTGTGTTATTACATGCAGGAGAATATATCGATTTCATTGGATATTTGACTGCTTAAATGTTAAATGTTCTCAAAAGCAAAATTAGGACGCTGCTCGGTAATCGTGAATTCAATCAATTAGTTCCTGGCTAAAAATTGCTACGAAATATTTATCGCTCGCATTTCATTAGTGAGTTTCACTTGTGGAAGTTGGAGGGAATTAAACCAATTTAGTCAGGGAATAAATCGTGATGAATTTAATTCATTACCGTCCCCTTTCCACAAATATTTACCATACATGAATAGTTGATGTTGCAATTAACAAACATTTGTCATTTAATTAAATCAAGAAATTTTGACTTCGCTGTAAGTAATAAAAGTACAATAATTAAACTATGTGCCACTTTATCAGGAATAAATGTATGTATCTGATGTAAGTGAATTTAGGGACTTCAAATTTATTATTCCTTTGATTAGATTTGGTGGGAAATCGCTAAAATTTAAATGATATACTGGCACAAATGCGAACCAAATATTCTATGCAAAGGCACCTCCACGAATGTCTGATGTAATCGATTCAATTTAAAATTTTGGGTATCGCGGAATAGTTGGACGCGACAGAATAAGTGAAACTTTTCAGTATTTCAATTATAAAGTTTCGGTCCGCAGTCCGGCCAGTTTCGCTGGAGTTGGTGCAGGCGGAGCGACAGTTGTCGGCAGGCGAGGAGACGGAGCTCGTCTGCGCAGCCCGTGGGTCGCGACCCGCCGCCCGTATCACGTGGTGGCGAGGCGACGTCGAGATACCAGACGTGCAGCACACGGTCAGTAACGGGCCAAGCCTGAAGTACGGTCAGTAACGGGCCAGGCTAGAAGTACGGTCAGTAACGGGCCAGATTAGAAGTACGGTCAGTAACGGGCGAGGCTAGAAGTACGGTCAGTAACGGGCCAGGCTAGAAGTACGGTCAGTAACGGGCCAGGCTAGAAGTACGGTCTAGTACGGTCAGTAACAGGCCAGGCTAGAAGTACGGTCAGTAACGGGCCAGGCTAGAAGTACGGTCAGTAACGGGCCAGGCTAGAAGTACGGTCAGTAACGGACCAGGCTAGAAGTACGGTCAGTAACGTGCCAGGCTAGAAGTACGGTCAGTAACGGGCCAGGCTAGGAGTACGGTCAGTACGGACCAAGCTAGAAGTGCAAGGCCAGACGAGAAGTACGGTCAGTAACAGGCCAGATGAGAAGTACGGTCAGTAACGGGCCAAGCCTGAAGTACGATCAGCAACAGTCTAGGCCAGAAATATTTAGGCCGCAAATAAGTAGGACGTGTTGGCCTTCTCTTTCCCCCCTCCCTGCGACCGCATCTTTCTCGTACTTATTCATCCTGAGCTCCGGACGTATTTATTCGCAGGAGGCCGTCAAATTAGTAAGTTTGACCCACTTTATCAATGAGCTGGCTTAATGAATATAACTATGATGTTGTACAGGAAACTATGATGATGATGGTTATATCATAGGGAATCCACGGAAGGTTCCCAACACATTTGCTCTAGATCAGACTGATGCTCTATAATCTATATCACCGAGAATGGACACTATTGTTACTAGCTAGGTATTGGATAAATTAGTGTTATATTTCTATAAGTAAGTAGTATCCTGTGTGAAGTAGATTCGAACTTACGAAGATAAATGTTGTATTTTATCTGTATCACGCCAACGAAGTTTGATTGAAAAACGAGATAAAAAAATGGTAACATGATATTAAATTTTAGATATGAGGTTTGTATTAGTCTCGGTGCGGCTACCTGTGATGGGAACGGGAATTTGCTGAAATATTCAAATGGATGCGCATTGCAAATTTTTGAGGCATTCATTTTTCAGTTCTATTTATTTATCGTTCGTAGTATTTAATTTATTATTATATGAAGAATAATAATTCGAAAATATTAAAATAATTCAATAAAAATTTTTCATTCTTCCACGTCAATTCCATGCTGCCATATAGTATCTGAATCAACTTATGTATTATCTTCACTACGAAGTTGAGTTGTCGGCAGGCAGTGAAGTGAGGTCCTGAAGTGAGCCTAGCACATAATGTCGTCTGATACTTCATGTCTTGCCACATTATCTGCGCTCATTATGATAAGAGATAGCGATGATGAGGGCAACTGGCGACCACAAAGAGAGAGCTCAGCGCCGACATTATCTTCAGTAGTTACCCCGTAAACAATCCAATGTCCTTTTGATGGCTCGTTTAATTCCATTCAAAGGTACATTGACTCTGAGCTTTCAATTATTTTAAATCAAGACTCGTGCAATACTCACGCGTCACCACAACAATTTGTATTCAAGTCTTGATTGTTTGCTTCCAGGTTCGTTCGTTAAGAGGCAATAAACGTGAGGAGGGACTCGTTATTAGTGGAATATTAGTAACAATTTAGTGCTCATGATTCTAGGCTAAGTAAATCCAGTAGATCTATTAAGAAAATAAGTAATAAGTCCTCTGATCAAAGATTTTTGCACAGTATTTAAGATAGTAAACGTTCAATGAGCCAGACTTGTATTTTTGACCCAGCAGGTCATGAACAACGGCAACCTGACGACAGGTTCCGTCAAGTTCGTACCTCAGATGAGCGATGACGGGCAGACATTTTCTTGTCGGGCCGTTAACCCAGAGATCCATCACACGCCGCTCGAGGAATCCACCACTCTCACTGTTCTATGTGAGTACGGGGCATGGTTATGAGATGAACGTTTTATAAAGTAATACTACCACTCTCACTGTTCTATGTGAGTATAGGGCACGGTTATTAGATAAAAGTTTTATAAAGTAATACTACCACTCTCACTGTTCTATGTGAGTTCAGTACATGGTTCTGAGACACACGTTTTGTAAAGTATTACTAACTTGAACCTTACAATCGTAAGATGTATTAATGCAATCTGTGAAATTAAAAAAAAAATTGAAATAAAGTAAAGGAAAAATATTTGTATGCTTCTTGACTATAACTTATTTTCTCGCCGATACATAGATTTCCTGTGACATCTCTTAGAAGTCAAGGGTTTCTTGCAAAGCTACATTAGATAAAATCTATAAAATATACAGCAAAAGAATGAATAATAAATCATTTAAAACCTGTTCACAGACGCCCCGAGAGTGAACCTGTCTCTGGGGAAGCCCTTGCGGGCGGACGACATCAAAGAAGGCGACGACGTGTACTTCGAGTGCAGCGTCCTGGCGAACCCTGGCGTGCAGCACATATCGTGGTACCATAATGTGAGTACCAGGCTGTTATGATAGGTACCATAATGTGAGTACAAGGCTGTTGTAATAGGTACCATAATGTGAGTACAGAGGCTGTTATGATAGGTACCATAACGTGAGTACAGAGGCTGTTATAATAGGTACCGTAATGTGAGTACAAAGGCTGTTATGATAGTATCTTTTTGTCTTATCTTTATCCATTGTAATAACTTGATCGGGTTCTTCACCAAGTCAGTTTATAAAGAGTTTTCGTCGGAGTATTAATGAAGACTTGTTCCCACAAGCATTTATTCAAATAAAGTTTATTTACAGCACAGATGAGTAATAGGTTGAAATTGGCATACGGGACACGCATCTGAATAGGCAGGAGGCTAACTCACTCGTCGCACACACTACCACATTCGAGGTAACTTTCGGTCTTGACACTTCATTATGGAAAACCCGCTATTTTGTTAGAAATAGTCCTTACATAACCCCACACTAAGACAAAATAGCGTCAACATCACTACAACTGTAAAACTAATTAAACAAAAATTAGAAATTAACCTTATCCTAGAAACTAACATCTCTCGAAATTCCTAGAGAACAAGTCCGCTAGAAAATTATCGTTTCCCTTGATATATTCTACTACGAAATCGTATCCTTGTAGGCTGAGCGACCATCTTGACAAGCGAGAATTTCTGTCTTTATTCTGCCTCAGCCATTGAAGAGGTGCGTGGTCAGTCCTGATTACAAATCTCCTCCCATACAAGTACGAAGAGAAGTAGTTAACACCCCATTTGATCGTCAAACATTCCAATTCTATTACAGAATAATTTAGTTCCGCTTTATTCAGTTTCCTGCTGATACAGGCCACAGGGCGGAAATAACCGGCACAAGGATTATATATCCGAAATTTTTCTCTTGTAGAGTAGTAGGTGGTCTCTCTATGGTATAGACCATTGAACTTGGTTTGTTTCATGTGGTGTTCCGCTGATATATTACACGGAAACATATATGCTTTATAACCCATACCATCACTTCTTACACATGCTGTTATCCTAAGTGTCCGCTGACCACACTGCATTGCCGCAAATGTGAACTGTACCAAATGGTAATGCGTCATCACCTTACTTACTCCACAAGACGTGAACCCCGCGTCACTGTTTCCCTGCCTTACTATCCCCCAGCATCTTCTTCCCCCCACACTTACCCCGACTCTCCACCATTATCGCACGGCTAACTGGAGGCTTTTCTCGCCGACCTTTGATGCTTATCCGAATTAGGTTAGGTTAAATTAGGTTAGGTTAGGTCAGGTTAGGTTACAACTCGTATAGATCCTCTTTTCATAGCGTAATGCAGTCAAGTGAGCAGAAACTAAGAAAACCTGTACCTTTGGCTTTTAACATATAATCCCTTAGTCTACTCTGCCCTTTAGCAGGCTTGCGCACGGAAAGCTAAACCAATAAATCCATTTATTAATTAATTGTGTATTCATTTATCCCAACCAAATTCGTCCTGCTGCTCCCTAATCCTTTCCGTCTGAAATTAGTGAATGATACAAGACGCAATTCTATTGGCCTGAAATAATCCTCTGATGCGAGTCTAAAAATTACATATATATGGATAAATAAAACCAAATTACCCCATACTCGTATGAGCGTCTGATTAGTCCAAGAAGTTTGTTGGATGTGTTAGCTTGCGTTTCAACATGCTTAGAAAATTTCAGCTCCTTGTCGACATGGTAAACGTTTTTGGTCAATAAATTTGTACGCGGCATAAACTATTCAATAGTTTTTCATCGAATTAAAAACGAGTAATGAAAATGTCTGGAAATAATTTAGAAGTACATAGATTAGAGGCTTAAATCAGACTTCACGTGCGCCCGAATCTAGAGTTTGGAAACGTTGTGTGGTCAACGAGATTTGAGAAGGACAAAAATTTAATAGAAAATGTTCAAAGACGTGAAAAAAAATAATTCCAGGCTTGAAGGGCAAGTCCTATGAAGAAAGATTAGAGATTATGGAGCTTCCAATCCTCTGTTATCGACGTCTGCGTGGGGACCTCATTGAAGTATACAAGTATACTCATGGTTTATACAAGGTCCCCGAAGGTCTAAAAAAACTGCGCTGCAACTTCTCCACGCGACAAAATTTCTTCTCGCTTCGAATCACCGACATGTGGAACAGCCCCCCCGATGACATCGTTGGCGCTCCAAGTATGAACGTGTTCAAGAACAGACTAGATGAAGTTATGGAAAAATATATGTTCAGACTCGAAATGCCTAGCACCATATCGAACCCGGTTTCCTCAAGAAGCAGACAAAACAACAACATATCGAACCCGGTGGCAGTCTAGTAGCTATTTCAAACTATTGTCAGTCATGAAAAGATCCGGTAAAGGACACGATTTTAGATCTTCAGACGTTCCAGAGAACAAGTCAGGTCTGAATAAAGTAGGTAATATTGAATATGTATTATGGGTAGATGTTAAGAATGTGGGTCGAAGCGATATAGCAAGTGGTTGTTTCGACAGCGTGGGAACAAATTAGTCTACATCGAGCATTGGCAAGCTCAGCGCGAGGGACATTCCAGTCGAGGAATATGGCGTCACTTCAGGGTATAGGCTTAACTGTGCGTGACACTAGTTTATATAAGGACCTTGAAATTCGCGCCAAGTTGGTTCTACGGAGGTGACCGTCACGCAAGCACGGTCTGCAGTCAGCGGACGTAACGGCCGCGGCCGTGGGGCCGGCGGTGTTACCGTTTTCGAACATTGACGATCGCGAGAAACCTGGACTTATCGAGGCAGCCAAGAGTCCGGTGAGCACGTCAAGAAAATCAACATCAACACTACAGCTGCGACTCAGCCGTGAGACAATGCGAGAGGGCAACGAGTTGTACAACGATTATAACGCACGTCATCAGAAGATTTAAGTTTCGAGCTCAACATCAAGAATTATCATTGGTACGGTCATCAATAGTACGGTCACAACTCTCAGCAGACGAAGCGTGACGGTCACAGTCATCAACCGAAGTACGGTCGTCATAAACAACCTACGGCCAGACTGGCCGTGAGGCATCAATAGTGGCAAGACACGACGGTTATGAAGAACTGCGATCGCGAGGACGCGCGGCTACAGCGGCAGTACGACCACTTGGAATACGGCTGCAAACGCGCGGCTACAGCTGCAGTACGGCCGCTCAACCTACGGCCGCAAAGTGTGCGCAAGTTACGGTCGTTTACAACAGTCGTACGGCTCTACGGAACTGCAATGCATCGGCATTTTTCCGGTAACATTAGATGATTTCAAAGATGTAAACTGATAGGTTTTGGACTTTTGATTGTGTTCAGATTACCCTTTTCAAGTACGAGAGATTTTTGTTAACGTAGGATGTGAACTTGAATTTTCCAATTTAATATAAAATGTATCAGTGTTTCATTGCAACCCTCTCTTTGTACTATTTTTGTTGTAACCTCTCTAAAAGAGAACCTTTTCATACGTGCCTATCATGCGCCACTCGGCGTGACCCTGACAAAACGATAAGTAATGAATACCGGTATCTTAAACCTGAACCTGAACGTAAAGTAAAATTGGTGGAGTAATCACTCCTAGTGTCCAACTTTAAAATATATGAGACGATAAGAAACTTTTACTTTTGATTTTTTTAATATTCTAATCAGGTCAAAATTTAGAAGTCAGGTAAAAATTTAGTGAAAAGTATGCCCTATCTCATTAAATTGACTGTTTATTTTGATTTTTGAGTTTAAAATTTTTGACACGCAGATTTATCCAAAAGGCGCATTGTCTTAGCTCAAAACCTTGAAAAAATAATGTTCTTTTTAGGTCAATTCACTATGTAGTTTTAATTTTGATTTCAGCCTTTGTTATCACGTAAGTTTAGCCAAAACGCACATTAAAAAGGGCATTCATTTCGTTAAATTTTGTGCTAAAATAATATGCGTTTTGGGTAAATTTACATAATAAAATATTAAAAACTAAATTAATAATTCATAACTAATTCATCTAAAAAGACTATCATTTTCTTTACATTTTTCGAGCTGAAATAATGTGCGGTTTGGCTAAATGTACACGTTAAAAATATTAAAATCAAAATTAAAAAAAACGTACTCAATTCACCTAAAAATTGCATTATTTTCTCTGATTTTAAAGCTAAAATAATTTGCGTTTTGCTAAATTTAGGTGTTTAAAATATTAGAATCTAAATTAAAAAAGCATAGTCAATTTACTTGAAAGGAACCTAATTTTCTTTAAATTTTGTTGTAAAGTAATGTGCGTTTTGGAAAAATTTACAAGCCTAGAATATTAAAGACAAAAGTAAAAATACATAGTCAATTTACTTAAAACGGGTTTTCTTTTCAATGAATTTTGAGCTAAAATAATGTGCATTTTGGCTAAATTTACGAGGCAAAAATATTAAAATACAAATAACATATACATAGTCAATCTACTTAAAAAGAGCATTATTTTCTCTAAATTTTGAGCTCAAATAATGTGCGTGTTGGCTGCATATAGGGCAACATGGGGCAGCGCGCCCCCCTTTTTTTTAAACTAAAATTTTGATGAAGTTTTAATTGATACGAGGTGGTTTTTTGTTTTGTTTAAAGGTACAACTAATGAGGAATGTATGATGGGAATTAGACGCCTATAGAGTTATTCCATTTTTGATGAAACGCTATTTTGTATAAAGTGTCAAAATGGGCCCATAGCCCCACCCCTGGGGCAATGGGCCCATGGGCTTGGGGCAAGGCGCCCACCCTTGGTCCCTTTACTACAATTGCATATTTTTCGTTTAAAAATGATAAAACAACACTCTACAGTTAAAAGTAAGGAAAATGTAATAAAAATATGACATTCATTCATTTATTAACAACTCAAAAAGTCATATCCTTAACTTGAAAAAATATACTCTTGGCTTAAAAAATCTATCACTGACGTGAAGAAAAATATTTCATTGACATAAAAATATATATCCTTGACTTGAAAAGTATATCCTTGCGATTCCTTGACATGAAAAAAATTCGTCCTTGACATGAAAAAATGTATCTTGGCTAGAAAAAATACATTTAGTTGATCAGAATAAAACTTCGTTCCAGTTTCGTCCATAGTCCAAATATTATGTGCAGAGAATTCGTACCAAATCGTGATTTCAGTTAACACCATAAATACTCATCAACTTTTAGCTCATTGGTGTTGACTGAAATCATTTTTTGGCAAGGCAAGAGTCAATAACTTGATAAGGGGTCATAAATACGCATAACTAGAAACTAAATCTGCTGCCTTGAGGCGGCAAATAAAAAAATCATGCAATATGAAGTGTAATTTGTAATTCAAAAAGCTGGTCATAGTCTTGAAAAGGTCATTGAGACAAATCTAATGATGTATAACACAAGACTTCACCATGGGCGCTTTGCTCCGTGACACGCGTGGGCCCGTTGCCCCACTAGGTATAATTTCAATTTATATCGTGTCAACATATTAATTTAAAAGCTAATAGTCTAAACTTGATCTCAAAATTATTCCTATAAATATTAATTTCAAAATACAATTCACAGTAATTTCAGAAGCTTCATCTACAGTAATCGAAGACAGCTTTATTTAGCAGCAAAAAATTTTTATCTGGACTAAAAGTTATTCACAAATAACTTAATAACGCAAACATTTAG